ATATAATGAGGATGATCTGACTGCTGTACATTACTGTTGCATGATTTACACACTGCCGTAAAAGTATTCATACACTTGATCCTTTATTTTAACTCTTGTGCTTTCCTCCTGTTCCAAAAGAATACTTATATTTTCAACCGACTAACTTGTGTACGTTGAATAATAATAAGTTCGTAAAGATGAGTTTTTACAACGTTTAAATTTTGTATGAGCATTTTAAAGACAGAATAGAGAAACTATTAGAGCATCTTAATAATTAGGGCTAAGCTAACTATCTTGGCAGTCATTTTAGTTATCAAACTAGCCCTGAAGGGGCTAGAGAGACAACCTGCGGCTAATATTTAGATATTTTTAATGGTTAGATCATTTAAAAGCAACTTGAATATAAATGTCTTGAGTGCTCTGAAAGTCCTGTCTAATATTTGTTAAAATCTACATTAAAGATGCTGATTTAACTCAAAATATGAGTGGTAAATATGTATGGTCAACTAGTCAGTGTATCATGTTGCAGGTTGAATGGTCCAAGTTTTGAGCCATGATGCTACTAAACACACACTAAACTTTCAGTAGTAGAAGCATTATAAGTGACAGATAAGTCCATTATTCAGTTCAAAGAACTCAACAGAAGCCCCTGTAGTGGTGTTGGCTAGCTACCTTCCCTTTGGTCAGTAGTTCAAAGTTAAGGATGGCTATAGCCAAGTCTATGACATATGGTGACATTCAGCTTGAAAACTCAAATTTATGTATGCAAAATTTTGCTACATTGTTCTAATACTTAATATTTCATTAGTCCTGATATCAGTAAAATTGATCTAGCACATCCTAATGTACAGGTAACAGTACTATTAATCAGTTATTTTATATGCAGCTTAACCTTTGTTTGACCTAATTATCATAGTTTTTTTTTTATTTACAGATGAATTTTTTAGTCATCCGTTTCTCCAACCAGTCACCAAGCCAAGTAAGAATTTACATTATCTTTAGTTAATTTTAGTGTGTTTTAATTTTTTGTTTAAAATAAAGGTTTAAAATGCTTTCTTGAATATAAAGTATTTTGTTATGTGTATAAGTCTTGCACTTATATCAAAAAGTCGCATGGTCCATGTTTTACTTTGCCATATTGGTCGTAGATGAAAAATTTTAAATGTCTCTTGTATCTGATGGATGTTGAGTCTGTTTTACTTCACCATATAGTAACTTAAATTAATTTAGGTATGTGAATAATGCTACAACATTTCATCAAATTCAGTATTATGCGGTGGACCAACTGTTCAATGATTGTATATACAAAAAAAATGTTTCTTCTAATATTGTATGATCTGATGCTCTAAGTCATCTTGGCAACGTGCAAAACGAAAGATGTATTGAGGAACTGAGTAGCCATAGAGTTTCAGATCCACATCTTTTTCCAAGTGTAATGTTTATGCCATTAACAGCATATAAAGATTTATCGTGTCTTTTATTGATATGGATTGCTAGGAGGGAACGTTTAACATTGTCTGTGGTGATGTTGATTGAAGAACGTTTGACATTGTCTGTGATGATGTTGATTGAAGAACGTGTGACATCGCCTGTGGTGATGTTGATTGAAGAATGTTTGACATCGTCTGTGGTGATGTTGATTGAAGAACATTTGACATCGTCTGTGGTGATGTTGACTGAAGAACATTTGACATCGTCTGTGGTGATGTTGACTGAAGAACATTTGACATCGTCTGTGGTGATGTTGACTGAAATAGGAAGTTTTGTGATAAGAGATGCAAGACCTCTATAGGAAGATCTATAAATTTATTGGTGAAGCTAAAACTTTATTTGGTTTTTCTAATCCTCTTTTAATGTATTCTATAGAAAAGACTTGACTGAACTACTTGTATAACAGGATTAAAATACATTTTTATCAATAGGGTATCCATAAATTATTAAACCACTTTATTATTTGAATAGAATGAGAAGTAAATAAGATAAACAACTGTGGTATAATAGAGACTAATGCTTCAGGTTTGTTCATGGCCATTGCACTGTGAATAAACTTCTACATGGACACCATTCATGGCTCGAAGGACGTACAGGCAGTAATCGATCTCTGCCCACATATGTGCCAGCATCTTTGGAGTAATTGTCGCAATTTGGGCATGCAATATAACCATATCTGGTACCCATGTCTTATATATAATATCTTTATATACTTCCATATAAACTAGTAAGAGAAAACTTCAGTCGTCAAACTCTTTATCTAGTGTGGTTCCTATTTCATTCAATTAAGAAAGTCATTCAATAATTTTTGGACACTGTATAATAAGACATTGCAGAATGTCTTCAAAAGTTATTGAATTATCTGAGGTAATTTGAACTACAGTCATTGAGTGAGTATAAAAGTTAAAATTATTTTTTTATAGAAACATTCTAATATCCTTTGATCTCTATTTCAGGCTCGCCCGTGCCCATTCCCAGTCGAAGCTCTTTGTCTCCAGATGTTCCTTCTCCTATCAGTTCTCCATTTGATTCTCCTATTTCTGGAAACCTACCACCTTCACCTCAGGGATGGTGTGGAGTTGGTAGCAGAAATGAACACATGGTTGATGCAGGAATTCCAATGGCTACTTCACCAGTATTGGATAAGCAGTCTCCAGATGGCAGAGTAAGAACTTCGTCTTCCTCTGCTGAGGATCAGGTGTGTTGAGGTTATTTAACACCGAGTACAATAAGTATGGAATGTTAAAATACTTTGGTTGAGACACCATCTTAACTTTCTGTTGCATGCATTTTGAAAATACAGCAGAAAAAATATTTTCTTTGAATTTCTTACTCGTATAGGTCTATATTAAACAAAAAAAAATGTTTTTGTGGATCATATTTTGGTAAGTTATAAATAGGTACGTTATCTATGAAGAACCATTGGTTTATTTAGACTGTTATCTGAAAGTAAGAGCATTAAACTATAAAACTGAAGTATTTGTGTGCCTATTAAGCAACAATGATACAGTTGTTACCTGGACGTTACAATGTGCAATAGATGGTTAATGACAGAGATTTTTCTTTTAGCTAAAAGGTGATGTTGCATGAATACTTCACTTAACTATAAATATCAATAATTTTATTATGTTTTCCAAAAAAAAAAATTAGTTCAAAATAATAAGAAACTAAAGATGGTAGGTAAAGTTTTCTTGCATGTTAAGTACTGAAATCGACAGTTGTATTATTTGTGATCTCGGGACTTTTTTGTCCCAAGTTTTAGAAGGGTTCATATGTTGTGGATCATTTCTTACCATCAATGTCTGAGTGTGTTCTGATAATAGATATCATAGAAATCCATCCTTTGAGAGATTCTTCAGTCTCCTTTAGACTAAGATTAGTTACAGTTGATGGAACTGTTAACAAAAATGTCAATACTTAACTTTGTAGATTTAACAATGCAAGGCTACTTCACCAATATAAATTATTTTGATACATGTGATCTTAAAAGTTTATAATTGCATATTGTCTGTCAAGAAACGATTATACAAAAAAAAAAAAGTTAAAAATAATGAAAGAAAAATTAAATTTAACATTTAAGTCACAAAACTGATCTTCTGAGGATAAGATCGAGTTCTCACTTAAGAGTAAAGTCGTAATGTTCAAACTTTGTAGAGATAATACAAGTTAAACTGGAGATTTAGTGGGACACTTATGTGAACAAAACCTTTTGGTTATTACTACGCATTAGTTGTTTATTACCAAAAGCAATATTTATTTATCTGGAAATAATTCTGGCTTTTGGTAATAAACAACTAATAGTAGTAATAACCAAAAGGTTTTGTTCACATAAGTGTCCCACTAAATCTCCAGTTTAACTTGTATTATCTCTACAAAGTTTGAACATTACGGCAAGTGTTCATGTATTTCGGGTCAATCATAAAAATTTATTTATCTGGAAATAATTCTGTATGTTTGACCCGAAATACATGAACACTTGTTGTGGCACAGAAAGATCAGGTAACTAACTTTCATATTTCTTTGTCATTCCCATGTTACTGAGATTTAATTGTGTTTACCTGGTTTTTCAGTTCAATATATTTTCTAAGTTAAAATATAATATGGTTTTCACCAGCTGAAAAATTTGTAAAAATTAATCGCATTCATTTCACTACAAAAGTTTAGTCACTTGGCTATAGTCACAACAGTTTCAATACGGAACCAAATATCTAGGCTAGGATTGTGATAATTTTAACAGAGAATTGAAACTGTTTTCATTATTTTAATAAATAATTCTAACTTCTTCCATTGTTTTACTAGGAAGTTGAAAAGTGTTTTTACAGTTTCTTTTCTATGAAGATATTCATATGTAAAGTGTCTGGTTATAGAAATGATTTTTATGTTTTGTGTATCAGTTATGTGATGTAATAAGATTTGAGTTGTTTGTATGTTACACACGAGTTATATTATGTTACAGGATTTTGTGATAGTTCCAGCTGAACTGGTGCGACAATCAGGTAGATAATATTTCTCAGTTATTTGTTTTTTTCCTGATAGTGTAGATCTTTCTAATGTATCAAACAGAGTTGTGAATAAATTATGGGAAAAAAAGTCCTCACTTTGGTTTGTTATATTTGTGATTGAAAGTTTTCCTGTTGTAAAATTAACGATAATAGAACATTTTATATCGTAAACGATCAATATATTTAATGATTTTTGAAAAGAATAAGTTATTTAAAGTTATAAAATAAATAAACAAACATCAGTTCTCTGTTGTTGTTATTGTTAGTTTAATGGCAAAGTCAAGTTTGAAAATAATTGTAAACTTTTCGACAGTTTGATTTGTGATTACTTTATGAACTCGATATAAAAAAATATTCATAATCTGTTCAGTTTAACTATATTTTAAAGTTAATTTTGTTTTTACTTTAATGGATAGTACTTAATAATTCTAGACATCTTTAAAGGTCTAAAATAAAATGTCACTTTTACCATTATCTGTTATTAAGCTAAAGAGTAGTAGCTGAGGTAATAAATAATTATTCATTATTTTCGTTTGTTAGAAGAAAATTTCAATTGTAGTGGTTCAACAAAGATTCAACATGGCAGTAGTCCTGACAGGTGAGAAGTTATGAAATTTCTGTGCATGTAGTTTTTTTATAAAAACGTTTCAAACACTGTTATTTCATAGCGTAATATTCAAGCAATTTTATGTGGGTAAAAAAATAATCGATATTATTCTTAAGAGTTTGTAAATACAGAACTTTTGTAGACTTACCAAATTGGTCACCGTTCTTATGTCTCTAACTTTTTAGTTATTCCAGCTACAAGATAGGTATTTATGTTTATAAGAGACTGAATTCCTATAATTATAAAAAATAAAATTCACAAAATGTTAGAGTAAGGTTTAATGTCCTTCAGGCTCCTTCTCTTTGTGGAAGTTGTTTGTTAGACAATATCTGTATCTTGTAAACTGTACAGCAGGAAAAAACAAGGTATTTGTTTAAGGGTTGAACTTGCAGCACTTACCCGATCTTAAGTATTATCCAGAAAAACAAGTTCAATAACACAGGCCTGCGATGGTGTTATTGGCTTGAAATTTTTACATGTTCTACGGTAATTCCTGTATGCTTAATCTGAAAATGATATCCATTTTTCTCCATTGCGTACAAAACGTCGTATGTACTTTTACATAAGTGAATCATTTTCATTGAAATCGGGTCACATTTTGTTATGCTTCAAATGTTGACAACCACTGGCTATAGATTTCTCTAGACCAATCGTGATGTGATAGTCTTATCAATCATTCTAGAACCCACGAGAAACACACCGCTAGTATATAAACAGTTAATAGGCCTCATAACGTGTCATTTCTGGATAGTATTTGTTTGTGCGTGCACTTTGACATTATTTTATTATTTTCAATATTATTTATTCGTCGCTAGCAACAAGTTGTGTAAATGACCCAAACATATTCTGTTATATTTGTGGTAAATTTGTTGTAAAGAAATAAAGGTAAAAAAATTATAGAATTAAATCAAAAATGTGTATTACGTGTATTTTGGGACCTGTGTATTGTGTGTATTTTGGGACCAAGACAAATCATTGGTTCTGCATGAGGTTTGCACCATTTGGTCTAGTGTGAGCCTAGAAACCATGGAGTTTAAAGAACACTTGCAATTGTATTTCCTCAAGAAAAATCTAATTTTCTGGGCTGGGGATTAGCTAATGAATCTGAGGGTAGATTATTCATGGAAAAGAACCAACTGACAACACATCAGTAAAATGATACAGTGATCACATAGATCATCCAGGTTTTGAATATTCCCCAACACTATATAACCAAGAAACCTTACCCAATGAAAGTAATATGAAATACTGTCAAGTTTATTCAAGCCTGTTTGTCCAGAATTACAGGAACGTCATAGAACAAGCACCACTTAAAATGTTAACTTAAAGTTGTTTTTTCCATGTGGAGCATTTACTTCCTAAACTCCAAATTTTGAAAGAATGAAAGAAAGCCAATTTATTAAAGCATCTAGTCCTTTCTCTATTTTTTCATTCACAAGGTATCTATGATTATTAATCTCCAACTTTTAACTTATATTTTATGAAGAAAAACCAAATTTTCTGGACTGGACATAAGTTAGTGAATCCAAGAATTCATGTTTCATGTCCCATTACTACAAAATCACAATCCACACATTTGGTCAGTGGGTGTTATTGGTTAGCTTCCTTCCCTCTAGTCTATTATTTCAAAATTAGAAACAGCTGGTGTAGTAGCCCTTGTACAAATGTCTGAAACAAAAACAAACAAGTCTTTATCTCGTTACAGTAAAGTTTCAAATGATAACATAGTATGACCCAAAGAAATTTAAATTTAAGATAATGTGTAGTTCTCATATAATTGAAAGTAGTACAAGGAAAATTATTGTTAATTCTTTATTCTTTGCTTTTATTTTACTTTTTTTTAGTTCACCTTCTAGACCTAAAATTTCTTCCAACACATCTCCAAAGATGTCCAGCCATGTAGAAGTTAAGCCTCATTCAGGTAATGCAACATTTCATGCACCGAAGGCATCAGCAATAAGTTCACCTCGACCCTCCTATCTTCCAGTGAGTGGTACTTCTGCATCACCTCTTCCATCTCCTGAAGTGGGTACCTATCAGCAGTCGGAGCCAATTCCTGTCCCCTCGCAGAAGAAAGCCTATGAACAAATACAAAGAAGCCTTGAAGATGAGCCATCTAATTCATCTGGTTCAGTAGAAGAGAAAGCTTTGTCATCCCCTTCATCCACTCACATGTCTTCTAACCAGTCTTCACCAAATCTCCCTAAGGTGTCTTATTTTCTTTCTCTTAAAATCTCTCATGTTTAGATATGAATACTAGAAGTAACTAAATAGAAATTCATAATTGTTAGTTCTCAGCACTATCACATGAGATTACAAAAAAAAAATTCAACAATTACATAAAAA